TCACAAGACAGACTTATGCTGAAGAAGTTCATGGAGAACTGTCTCTCCTGGGAGAGATCCCACACTGAACAGGGGAATGATTCCTCTCCCTGAGCAGCGGCAGGAGTAATGTGTGATGAACTGATTGTAACCTCTGCTCCCCATCTCCCTTTATTGCTGACAGGGAGGAGGAAGAGGAAAGGAGGGAGAGGTAGGAGGAAGATGCTTTTTGAGATTTGTTTTACTTCTCTTCCTCTGATTTTTTATTGGCAATAAATTCAACTCATTCCCCCAAGTCTGTTTTGCCCATGATAGCAATCAGTGACTGACCTCTTGCATTCCTTATCTCAACCCATTAGCCTTCAGTTAAAATTTCTCTCCCGACATGGTTGCAGAGAGCAGCTTTGGTGGGTACCTGGCATCCAGCCAGGATGAACCCATCATTCTCCAACTTCTTCCCTTCAACTGTTGCATGCAGAAATTGCTTAATACTCTCAAAACCATAAAAAAAGATTTGAAGTACAGGAATTTATTTTGCAAACAGGGGAAATTAAACTAGAAACTGGAAGTTTTAAATGTGTTGTCCTCAGTATACCCATTAATTCTATCTATAAAGACATTTCATAATGTGGAACTTCAAATCATTATTTCCCTAAAGACCATTCTATTAACCTCAGCATTGAGGTTCAAGCTAGTTGCAGTACACCAAAGGGGCATGTCATAAGCTGAGGTAAACTCAAAATGAGACCCAAAGATCTGAGAAGTAATCTGTATTTCTTTAAAAAAGGAGAAAGAAAGGACACCCAAATTGCAGAGATATCCATAGAGGAAGACATTTAAAATTTTCAGGAGGAGCAAGAAGATTATGAAGAACTAGAACATATAACATTCTGAGTATTTTTGTTTGAGAAATGCTGTTGTTTTTTCTGTGACACAACAGAGAGAAACAAAAATATGTTCAGACATTAATTCCTATTAATTTCTCAGGTGTTTCACACAAAGAAAAAAGGCAAGTTGTACATCTCTTCATGGAGGAAATGCATTTACATAATATGGAAAGAACCATGTTTATATAATACGGAGAGAGGCAAAACGCTTGCAGCTTGCATGATTTCTGAGCTATCACAGTCATGGGTACTGGCCTATGCCTTGAAGTATATCTGAATCAGCTACTGATTAACTTCTCCAAAATTCTATCTCCATAAATAAAACTAAAAATATTTTTAAGAATCTCTAACCATACTCCTGGAATCAAAGATTCAGGGATACAGCCTGTTCTATACACAAATTTGGTTTTGCTTGCCCGGAATAGAATCAGACGTCTCTTCTAACTTATACTACTAAGTGGCCATCAGGCAAAACAAAGGCTTCAGCTCAAAATCTCATAATTAAACACTCATAAATATGCAACTAAGGTACTGGTAGTCTTAAACCTCCAACCTGTATGAAAAACAAAGGATAAATATGAGAGAGAGATCTTAACATTTCCAAATACTGCACCTTTTTACATTCTTGTCAATGAGAGTGAAATCCTTCACCTTTAAATCAGGAGTGAGTATTGAGGCACACAGAAGCAATACAACCAACCTTTAATTTCAGGAATCTGAAGAACAGTTGGTGACCACACAATAGGCTATGGGTTGACCCAAGTCTTGCATAGAAAGAAATACATTCCTATTGTTAGTTAAGATAATTAACATTGTTGTTTGACTTACTGGGAAAAATGCTCTATGTCAGCATACACTGATCTTAACATCACTTTTACTAATTCAGGACTCTTGCACCTAATTAAATAAAGATATGTTTCATGTATAATATTGTATCTCAAGAACATCTTATTGGTTGCTATAATACTTGGATCAGTGCAAGCTGATAGGAGGGTAAACTTAAAGTTGCTTTCAGTAGTTTTGCTCTGAGTAATCCAGAAAACATATTATTCACCTTCAACATAGTGCAACTGTTGCAAAGGACCTGTTATTATAGAATCATAGAATATGCTCAGTTGGAAAGGACCCATCTGGATCATCTAGTCCAACAGCTGTCCATGTGCAGGACATTCCAAATTTCAGAACATGTGCCTGAGAGCATTGTACAAATGCTTCCTAAAGTCAAACAGGCTGGTGCTGTGACCACTTTGCTGTTACAATGCCCCACCAACCTCTGGGTGAAGAACCTCTTTCCTTATGTCCAACTTAAACCTTCTACTACTCAGCTTCATGCCATTTCCCAAGTCCTGTCACTGGCCATGTGAGTGAAGAGATGGGTACTTCCTTTTCCCCTCCTGAGGATGTAGAAGGCCACAAAGAGATTTCCCAGGCTGAGCAGAAAAAGTAACCTGAGCCACTCCTCATACATCTTCCCCTCAAGGCCCTTCACAATCTCTGTGACCCTTTGGACACTCTCTAACAGTTTAGTATCTTATATTGTGATACTCCAAACCAGCCCCCAGCACTGGAGGTGAGGCTGCCCCAGCTCAGAGCAGAGCAGGACAATCCCCTCCCTTGCCCAGCTGTGATGCTGTGCCTGATGCATCCCAGGACAGGGTTGGCCCTCCTGGCTGCCAGGGCACTGCTGACCCATGTTCAACTTGCCATCAGCCAGGAGCCCCAGGTCCCTTTCTGCAGGGCTGCTCTGCTGCATCTCATTCTACAATCTGCATACAAAACCACGGTTGCTCTGTACCAGGTGCAGAATCTGGTTCTTGCTGTTAAACTACATAAGAAATACACTTCACTTTTTAATCTTCAGGACCTTATATGAAAGATACATCCTAGGAGACTTCATTTTTTGCAGTCATGACAAAACATATTGATATTAATGCAGTTGGCTGCCCCAAATCATGCCATTTCAGAGACATCTCATGAAAATGTTGCTTTTCTTCCAGGTTCATTATGAAGTCTCACAAACTACTGAGACCCATGATTACTATGTTTACATTATGTCAACCACTTTAGCTAAGTGGTAGCCTGCAGCTTTTACTGCAAATGAATAGAAATAATTTCTAAAATCACATTTTGTCTTGTCTGAAGTTTACATGCATTCTCTATAATTACAGAAATAAGTTTATTCACCAAAATGTTACAGAGAAAGAATGCCCCACTGGTTCTATGGTTTCCAAAACTTTTAAAATAACCTTTATAGAAGCAATGGAAGATCATTGCTTTTAAAGGAAGCTCACCATTTATTATGGACAATTCCATTCTCTTTACCATTCTGGACTACTTATGTAGGACTAGCTATTGCTGCGATAGATGGTAAAGCAATTTCTCTCCCATAGCATACAGTTAGGACAAATCTAATTATGGATTTTTTAATGCAGTACCTCTACTGTCGCAAAGGTATGACAGGCTAACAGGGATACACTGAGACAATAATATTTTGAGCTGATTTAAATTTAACACATCCATTTTTCACTGTGAGGAATACAGCATGAGCATTCATAGTTTAATTTTTTTTGGTCATCCTCAAAAATGCGGTAATTGTAAATATATGGCAAATTGGTTGAAGAAACTGAATGTTGAAGAACATGGCAACTATAAAGTCATTTATACATTAAAAATTACACTATCATTTTAGGGTACATAAGAAAGAGTTAGTTTAGTTAAAATTACACAGGGACACTACTGCTAGTATATTATATCTATTCTCAAGCCACAGAGAAATAACATCAGTGTTTATAGTTTTAGCAGTGCAGTTACCTTCAGACTTCCAAGTAAGAATGTCATGAGAATGCAAATGAGTTTGTTTCAGATGCTTAGGAACTCTGTTTCTAAGGGAAAGCTTGATTGAGAAAAAGTATGCTTCATATTTGGACTAAGCCAAATATCAGCCTGCTTCTAAATCCTAGGCCACTACATGCAAAAAACTTTGAATCTTCTTCCCATTCAGGTTTTTGTGCTTCCAGTCAAGTTTTTAAAAGATTTGAAAACAGAAAACAAGACTAAAAATAGCCTGTTTCATTAGGCAATCTAGAAATTTGAGATGCATGCCCTTGGTTTCGGTCAAGAGGTCTTGATGATTGCCTTCTTCAGATCAGAAATGAGACTAATCCAGGAACTATCTACTCTATTTCATTTACTTAAGAACTGTCAACCTCCCCCCCCCCCCCCAAAAAAAAAAAAAGCAGTTGAAAGCCAACTAGAAAGCCAACAACACATCAAGTTTACATAGATTTTAAGGTCACTGTGCAATGAAACATGAATCTACACTCAGCTGTTTTAGAGACCTAGGTGTGCTCAGAACCTAACAAGGATGGTGAAAAAGTCCTCTCCTTCATCAACCAGCAGCCTACATGTAGTTTAGAAGAATAAAGTATGATGTAGATAGAGCAAGTAATTTCACAGAAGCAATGATAGAGCATCAGTGTATAAATAAAAGCACCAAAGTCATAAAAAACCCAAATTGGGATGCAAATAAATTGATTGAATGACCAAGAGATCTCCACACACTGTGAAGGGAAGGGTCTAAAAGTCCCCATTTGTTACAAATTTTCATTGGTAACAAATAAGGAATGCTGACATCCAAGCAGATGTAGCAGCTTGCTTAGTCCTACAGGAAAAATGGCAGTATTTTTCACTTTAGTGCCTCATCTACTGCCATACAGGTTTCTGATTTACAGGGAGCAATAATCCTCAAAGATAATGCAATTTGATTGATAGACCTTGCAAACTTTGATGTATCTAAGTTAAAAACTACAACATTACTTTATACTTGGTGCTTCAAATCAGATATGCTACTGCAGCTACCGAGAACAGTTTAAAAGCATAATAAAATCCTTCAAAAGAACCCCAAGGGAGCAGCATAAAGTGAGAAAGTAATATTTGAGATTATACATGTCTCCCCCTTCCACCCCCTTCAAAAAAACCCCAAAACCCAACAGTAAAAGAAATCTGAAAACAGATTAATAAAATAAAGACCCTAAAATTACACAAGTGTGGAGGAAGAGAGGGAGTGAGCATGTGAGAGAGATCTGAGGAGGGAAGTCATGAGGAGAGGGGCTGAGGCAGGGCTTCTTTTCTTACTTGGCACAAGCCACTGATGCACATGTCCAGGGATTCAGTGTAGCACCGTGTCCCATCCAGAACTTTTGGCGCCAGCTCCACAACCAGAGCCGTTCCTCTGGCTTGGCACTTGAGTGAGCACGGGTTGTCAGGGTCATTAGAGACGGGGAGCCACTCGTACAACTGCCCTTGGTACTTGACATCGTTGTGAGCAGAGCACTGCTGGGCACGAAAATCACCTGCTTCTGGTGGGCAGTCCTGCAGAAAAGGAGGAGGAGAAGATGAGCAGGCCTCTTCAGGACCGCCAGTTGCATTATCATGCAGCTGGCGGTGCTCCACAGCTGCCAGATGGAGACAGTTTCTGCTTAGACAAAAAACACACATGATTCAATAGATGATTATACCTTTCTTTCTTCTTTCCATGAAAGTATTGAAAGAGCACCAAGACCATATGTAAATGGGAAATAAGAAATGCACTGTACATGTCTTAACCACAGCCTTGTGGTTAAGCAAAAGAGGGTCTCCATGCTCTTGCTGGAACTCATTCTACTTGTGCACATATATGGAGAAACATGTGTGCACAGCCACTCTGTTCCAGACAGGTTTTACCCTTTGTTTGAGGAGAGAGAAAAAAGAACTATGTGATTCGGCTCTTTATTTAAGCTCTTGCCACTAGCTTTTCTTCTTTTAGCCTCAGTGACATAAATCAATTGCTGGGGCAAAATGAATCAGAAACATTTGACACATATTTGCATTTCTTTAAGCTAAGATTTCATAGCTCACATAATTAGGGACTTCCAACTGAGAAGATCTTAAAAAAAAAACCTTTTTTTTTAATTCTTCAGGAGATTTGTGAGTCATATAAATCTAACTCTGAAGTCAGTCTACCAATATAAAAACCAAAGACCACTCCTACTGCATAAAATACATTGTTGACAAGATTTTTAGGCTTTTCTTACCCACATATATTTTCTTGCTGCTACTTAGCACTGAAGACCATTAGACAGGTTCTCAAGAGAACAAGAAGAGCTTTAAAATCATGAGTCTTCAGGCAAAATAAACATGAGTTCTTTTTGTTTCCCTTCCAGTATTTGATCCTTGAAGAATGATATTTGAAGTCTTCTTTTGCAAGCAACCACAAAAGCTAGGGATTCACTAGGGTTTTCTTAGAAGTAACTTGAATTTCTCGCATAATTACAGGAATGCTGGAGCTAAGCTTTACAAAAAACATTAAACATCATAAGAACTGAGACAAAAAAAAAAGCAAACATTGGCAGAATGACTACTTCAGAGTATTAAGACTGTGGAGTCCTCCACCTTACTGCCATAAGGAGATCTGCTCCTGGATGATATCTGGTAAAATACCATATGACATGAACAGTTGTTCCCCCTCTGCTTGAGGACTATAACACTTTTTTAATCCTACATCATACACAATCCTATGTATTGATGGTAGGCTTGGTATGTAAAGTTTTTATGTATGCACAATCATGTAACTAGACAATAACTTATAGGATATTTGTATCTTCTGTTTGCCCTCAAACTACTTCTTCCTATTAGACAATCATTAATGACAATAAGTCTGGCTTATTCCCAGACTTCTTATGCTCCCAGTCTTATTGCTGTCGAGGGAAAATATCTCTTCTTAGATTTAAATCATCACCTATATTTCTCAGATCTATTCTTATCCCATTTATTCACTAACAGTTTTCTGCATTTTTTTAAAAGGCCAAACTATTACAGCTTTGGATATGAAAGACATGGAGGCTACATGTCACTTTGTGACATAAATGGATCATTTTTTATTATTAAAATCTAAAATAAAATCTGTGTTAAAAACTAAGCTTTCAAATCTCCTCTCAAGGGAACACGGCACAGTCTTGGCTATGAATTTGTCATTTGTAAGCCCTTGCCTGAACCCAGGTTAGCCCTTCTGGCCTCTCATTCTCTGTTGGAACGTGATTATGGCTATTTTATTTGAATGTTGAGTAATATTGGGTTGCAACATTTCAAACCTTTTTTGTTGTGGACTATGCACACATACAAGCTGTGGCCTTAGCCGCAGATTGTAATCTAATGTTCTTTGTACCACGTGAGGAAATTTTCAATTAATTCACTTTGTGTTCGAGTCTGATGCACCCCAAAATTAAAGGGTCAAATCCCAGTCAAAAGTTCTGTGATCTAAGTAGAAGGCAATAGTTTAGCTGTTCCAAAAGGTTCAATGGAGTAAGGCATAAGAGAAAAAATGATGTGGGTTAAATCTCTCTAGAGAAATATGTATCAAAGTGTAATAACCCAGAGCTTGTTTTTCCTTTTTGAAAGTGGAGGTTGGAAGTTGAAGCCTGTAACTGGTATTTTACTGCCGGAGAACTCAGTTTTTCTATCAATATAATACAGAAGATTAAAAAATATATTTCAAGTATTTCAGTTTGATTTTAAAATATAAAGAAAATCTGAGGGGCAATCAGGGTCTTTTTATGATCTGGGCAAACTTTTGTTACAAGACAAAGTTTGGACACTGAAGCAAGCTGAAAAATATGTGGGGAATTCATTATTCCTCTACAGCTCTGTAATTAGAGAAAAAGTGGTCTTTATGGTCTGCTCTTATACAAAGGATGAACAATAAGATAGCTATAGCTTGACCCAAGATCTGCTTTAGTTCTATTTTCAAACAAGAAAAGAAGAACACAGTGGCCTTATTTCCTACCACAAAATCTTCTGGTGCCTACCCTTCTGTGAATTTTTCTGTCTGTAAATGAATACAGTCAGGTCTATTGGTTTGGCAGATACCCAAGCCAAGGCTCGGTTGCAGAAATCCAAGCCAGCTCTCTAGCTTGGCTCAAGCTTGGCTCTACCTTCAGAACTTCCTGGCTTGTAACAGCTTTATTTTTACAAAGAGAAAAAGGCCCAATAAAGCACACGACACACAGAATTCATAATCCCGCTTTGTACAGAACTCAATACTATGTTTGTTGTGCTGGATTTTACTTCTTAATCAAAGAAATAAAAAACATTCCTCAACATAACAAGCCTACAGGACACAGCAGGTGACCAGGACTGATGTTAAATACTTCCAATCTTTGATAATGTGGTCAAAATAAAACAATGGATTTAAATAGCAGAGCTTGTGTTTAAAATAGTTTTCATGTGAAACTTGAATCAATTAAGAATATATGCAAGCAGTCAGAAACACAGACATACATACTTATTCTTGGCACAAAGATGTGAAAAAGGGTCACAGCCTGGTGCAGAAACTTTTCTCCTGCTGAAATCCTGAATCCTAAATTTACCTGAAGGCATTGGAGATGTTTTTCTCTCAGGAAGAATCTTTTCTTCTGCTTAAAAAAGCACAAGTATTTGCATGTTCATGTATAATACCTACACAAGCTGTATAATATTTTTTTATGCCCAAATGGACAGTGTTGAGAAAATCTGTTGTCTGAATTCTGAACATTTCTCACTTTTAGAAGGAGGTCACTGAGACTGAAAATATAGGAACTGCACAAAACATAGCACATCCACTTTTTTTTTCAACTTAAATTTACTATTTTTCGTTGGTATTATATGTCAGTGGAGATCAGAGCCTCTTTGTGCTGACATTTGTGCAAACATATGATCAAAGCTCGATATAAGTTCTCAGCCTATAAGTAAGTATTCTATATGCTGAAACAGAAGATAAGGTAAAATCAGTGGGGTTTTTGCATATATTTTCAAGTAAATTGCTATTTTCTTCTAAACACTTTGCACACCTTTAGATAATGCCACTTGCTGTTCTGAGGCAGTCTTGCTGCGCCTTATTTCTGCTGGTTCCTGGACAAGAGAAACTATAGACTAATTCCAAAAAGTTTTCTTGAAAAAGAAAAGCCTGCTTTTGGTACTTGCATGATGGTTTAGAGGACGGGGACCCTCTATGGCTACCAGCTTGCACTGCTCCATTGGCCTAAGTGAAGTTAAATACTGGTCCAGCCAAGGGTCTGATTTTGGGAGCTGTGTAACAGCTTCTTACACAGCTTGTCTACCTGCACAGCAGATTGACAGGCACTTTGAGACAGCCAGAAGCCATGGGCCAAGTCAGTGTAGCAGTGGGTACGAGGCAGTGCATCTCTGCATGGGCTATGTGGTTCTGTGAGGAATTTAGCTAATCGCATCTCCATGGCCTGTGTTTGGCCTGCAGCATGTGGCAGCCCTGGTATCTGGCCTTAAAACTACTACAGTCCTGCTTCAGGTTATTCCAATTTTGGTACTATAGACAAGTCTTAACAGTTTTGTTTTCTTTTAGAAAATAACTACGGGCCCCTGCAGATATGAAGAACTGCTGCCATTGCACTCCTTGAAGAATCAGAAAGAACTAATAAACTTGAAAGTTTAATCTAGATCCATTTATCTTCAAACTTCCTATTCATGAAGACCTTTCAGGGATGAAAAAATTCCAGTGAATAGGAAACAACTGTTCCTCCTTTAATTCTGTGAGTCCTAGGTGGGTCTTTTATGGCTTTTAGCTCACAAAGGTTCATGAGATATTACTGAAACACTGAGCCTGCGCTGGATACCTATAATCCCTATTCATCCCATCAGGTCAAGATTTCCTGTACAGCAATGAATATATATATATAATTTTAAACGTGATCAGAAACCCCTTTGATCTGTGAAACCCATTTTAAAATATACACAGGAGTTTCATCCTCACTTCTTGGGCATGTAATGTGATCCATATTATTATGGCTTCATTTTCTTCCTCACATCGATTTTCTATTTTTTTTTTTCAACTTGACCTCCTATTTTACCCTATTGTAATTCATAAGGTCCATGGAATTTTGCCATGTTTGAATCCCATTCAAAACAATTTCCATTAATCAACAATCCACTGGAAAAGATAAGATGAATCCCAGATGTCCCTTGATGGTGATAGGTAGATCAGATTTCACGGGACAAAAGAGGGTCAGACTTTTTAAAGTTTACTTAGTGGGTGAAATGTAGAAGATCCTATCTAAGCAGTGATAGGTGGAAACAGTTGAGGAACTTTAAAACAGTTTACAATATATGTGCTTGTATATTTGCAGAGGCCAAGAATGATTTACTATACCTGGAGCTCTTCCTCTGTACAAAAAATGACTAACAACTGGACTTCTCTGTGCAGCATCTGACAGAACAGCTTATTGAACCAGTTCCATGAAGTGCTCACGGTGTTGCAGCTGCACCAATTTCCCTACCAAGAAAGAAAACCTGAAGTTTTCAAGTAGGGACCTGTCTAAGACCAA